ACCATGTTGAGATCAATCATTATTCGGGCAGTTCCAGCCTAAAGGGGCGTCATCGACATCTTCCCTCGTAGCCACATATCATGAGTTCCTGGACCATATTTCAAGGAAACGTAATGCAGACCGCCATGTCTGCCACGGGTCACCCCACAGTGCCAACCTCCAGGTACGTCTGGATATGTTGCTGACATACACCTTGGGTGGTCCACCAGGGAAGCTAAGGAGGCGTTATGAGATGTCCGTGAATCTACATGGTTTGGTACTTGTATCTCCATGGTGATTACAACCTTCTGGTTATTGTAGCGTGAGTGAGTATGTTTTTACGTCGCTTTTGGCAATATTCAACCAATATCATGGCGGGGGACACCAGAAATGGGCTTCACAAATTGTACCATCCGGGGATCGAACCCGGGTCTTCAGCGTGACGATCGAACGCTTTAACCACTAGGCTACCCACCCCCCTGGTTATTGTAGACACGATTTGTGACATGGTTAAGTCTCAATGTAACGAGCATGTTTCAACACCTGACCCCACTCGCCTGGTGGGCTGAAGAAGCAGTGCCAGTTTACGGTGCAGCTCTGTGCCGTCTGGAGACCAACCAGATTTGTCCATGGACAGTGTGATCTATGCGGTGACGTATATGATGATCTCCTGGTACATGCCATATGTACCTGTGAGGTCAAAACTGAGACGAGAGACCTGTGGTGCGACCTCATCCAAGTAGGACCTGTGGACCTGAGTGTGAGGTTGCATGACAAGGCAGATCTGGACCTGGTTTGCTGTCTCCTGTCCTGCCGACCTCCTGTCACTCTGGCAGATGACGACCTATGGTCGTACATAGAGACTATTGTGTAAGGACTATCCTCCCTCTGTGCATAATTCTGTATATCTATTTCAATGAACTGTAAACCCTAATTTATCGAATTATCGCATTTCTATGTACTCTCCAATGGGGGAATAAAAGTGTATATATAACTCGCAACACCCTCAAGGAGTACCTTTTCTATATTGAGATACACCCGAGAGTGAAAACAAAGAAAGCATTTGAGACAAGTTGAGTTAAATCCGCGTATATTTTCACGAAAATGAAAGGAATTGTTTCAATTTTCAGTCTCCGATAAGCATCTGTTTATGAATCAGTACCAAATAGTATAAAGGTGAGCGAATCCTTCCCGCCTAACAACTACCTAGAATGGCCCCCAAACCCGGGCACATGAAAAACATTAACACGGGAACAGATGAAAATAGGGAACTGTATTTGACGGAGTTGAATGTGTGGGAGTTGGCCACGTCTTGAAACTGAGGTCGACCTTTTAATCGATTGTAACAGGTATGGGCATCTACGTTAGGATGTCAAGAGCGCTATGAGTGAAGCTATGCCATATGTCTCGGATGTATCTTCAACTGAGAAATTTATCACGTTACACGTGAATAAAGCTGTTCTGGGATTAATTAATCAAATGTTAAAACGGCGCTTAATACACACATAATCATCTGTGTGCCGTTTCACGTGTATGTTAGTTCGTAAGGGAATTGTGGTATTTCTACCTTTGACAGATTTGATGAAAATTGTATATAGTGGATATGTATACTTATGCAGGCACTGTATGTGTTTCTGTTCTCTGTGTGTGTGTGTGTGTGTGTGTGTGTGTGTGTGTGTGTGTGTAGGTGTGTGTCACTGTGTGTGTGTGCCTGTGTCAGGTGTGTGTCACTGTGTGTGTGTCTGTGTGTGTGAGTGTGCGAGTGTAGTGTGCGGTGTGTGTCAGAGAGAGAGAGAGAGAGTGAGAGTGTGTGTGTGTGTGTGTGTGTGTGTGTGTGTGTGCGTGTCTGTGTGAGAGTGTGTGCGTGCGTGCGTGCGTGTGTGGTCTTTCTGTGGGCGGAAGCATAGACTTGTAACGGATTTCTCAACTTAACCTCAAGCTCCTGTGATTTTGTATAATCAATTTATGTTTAGTGTCTCATGGGTCAGATCTGTTATATGTTGTAGTTCTATTTCCGTGATTCAGCATGAAGTGTACTTAACACAAGACACTTTAATACACAGTATTAACATATTGCATGTGTGCTCCATTATGTTTAGTCAGTTAGCTTAGGTCGCTTTGATTTGCGGGAAGTCTCCACAGGAGCAGCAGACCTGGAATCGAGTTCCACAATATATGGTATCAGTAAATGAAACTCGAGCTATAAATCCACAAGAGGGTAATGACAGATTCACTTATAGCATCCTCAGATGACATATGGCTGGCCTTAAAGAGATTCCATACAAGACATATGGCTGCCGTGAACGATTCCTGTACGGATCTATGGATCGGATCATATTGTGACTTGCGTCACAGAGATTCCTGAGCCGATACATGGCTGGCGTCACAGAGATTCCTGGTCCGATACATGGCTGGCGTCACAGAGATTCCTGGTCCGATACATGGCTGGCGTCACAGAGATTCCTGAGCCGATACAATACTGGCGTCACAGAGATTCCTGGTTCGAAACAATACTGGCGTCACAGAGATTCCTGAGCCAATACAATACTGGCGTCAAAGAGATTCCTGAGCCGATACATGGCTGGCGTCACAGAGATTCCTGGTCCGATACATGGGTGGCGTCACAGAGATTCCTGGTCCGATACATGGCTGGCGTCACAGAGATTCCTGGTCCGATACATGGCTGGCGTCACAGAGATTCCTGAGCCGATACAATACTGGCGTCACAGAGATTCCTGGTTCGAAACAATACTGGCGTCACAGAGATTCCTGGTTCGAAACAATACTGGCGTCAAAGAGATTCCTGAGCCGATACATGGCTGGCGTCACAGAGATTCCTGGTCCGATACATGGCTGGCCTCACAGAGATTCCTGGTTCGATACATGGCTGGCGTCAAAGAGATTCCTGAGCCGATACATGGCTGGCCTCACAGAGATTCCTGGTTCGATACATGGCTGGCGTCAAAGAGATTCCTGGTCCGATACATGGCTGGCCTCAGAGAGATTCCTGAGCCGATACATGGCTGGCGTCAAAGAGATTCCTGAGCCGATACATGGCTGGCCTCACAGAGATTCCTGGTTCGATACATGGCTGGCGTCAAAGAGATTCCTGGTTCGATACAATACTGGCCACACAGAGATTCCTGAGCCGATATAAGGATTGCTTCACAGAGATTCCTGAGCCGATACATGGCAGGCATCAAAGAGATGCCTGGGTCAATAAATGGCGTCTTAGAGATTGTGAGTGAGTGAGTGAGTGAGTGAGAGTGAGTGAGTGAGAGTGAGTGAGTGAGTGAGTGAGAGTGAGTGAGTGAGTGTGTGTGTGTGGTGTGAGTGTGTGTGTGTGTGTGTGTGAGTGAGAGTGTGTGTGTGTGTGTGTGTGTGTGTGTGTGTGTGTGTGTGTGTGTGTGTGTGTGTGTGTGTGTGAGTGTGTGTGTGTGTGTGTGTGTGTGTGTGTGTGTGTGTGTGTGTGTGTGTGTGTGTGTGTGTGTGTGTGTGTGTGTGTGTGTGTGTGTGTGTGTGTGTGTGGCCTTGTAAAGAAGGATAAGAATACCCTGTTCATCATCACTCATCTTCAGTGACCTATTTGTATATTCATAGGCATGTTGCGTTATATCCCCATGGAACCTTTTTCTGAAGATAATCAAGATTGATTATTCTCCTGTGTAGACGTTTTGAATTTACAAATGTTTGCAGAGGCGAAAATCATTCATCGACTTCAAAGGAAATGTTTTATTGAAACTTGTAGACAAGACACATTCAGCTGACACCGAGCCTACATGAAACGCAAATTCTGAGAGCTGTCAGGGTTTTTGGCACATCAGAACAGATTCATCCCCATCTTCTGTGTGTATACAGAACTAGGAATTACGTTGTCGACATATGTAGCTGTCCATCAGCCGGTCGCGTTCACTCGCCAGTTACAACAGTATTGAAGTGAATCAGGTCTCGTATCTCCCATGATGAAGAAAGACCTGCAACATCCTCGTACCAGATACAGTAAACTCCAAACCGGGACACAGATGACACAGGTCTAATTGTCTGTAGTGAACAGAATACCACGCTGGACTTTAGCAGATACGAAACGTCATACACTTCAACATCCGTGTCCAGGGCGAGAGACGGCGGCCAGCTGATAGACAGTTAACAACGTGTTGCATGGTTCTGTCCCCCCTCAGGAATTGTGGATACATCTGTGGGTTTAGGGGGCAAGGCCTGACCTCTTGTGTCACTCGTCCACACGATACTTGTCGAGATGTAAATTACTTAATGCCGACTGCTTGTCACGCCTGTGCACGTTATACCATTCTTTCATTTCATTCCTGCTGTTTTAAAGGGCCCGCGGGAGTCTGGCCGAGCCTGTCATCCCGGGAGACCAGCTTCGGTGATGTCACGCATTGTTCCCACCAACACGGAAATCTTGCTTTTTAGCCATCGACCGGCCATTATTGTACCACGAAGGACACTGGTGGTGTAGGCATCAATCTGACTGTCCCTGTCATAATGGAAATTAGTGTGATAGTTTGTTATTTTTTCCTAAGCTGCTACCATCACGTCTTGGTTGAATTAAAACCATTTGAACAGGCAATGATTTGTCTTTATACATGTTTTGCAAACAAGACAACTAGATTTGCCCTTAATAATGTTAATGTGCGCACGTTTACGTGCACAACGAAAATTATTGATATTTGTCCAATGAAATGTGTTCCATCAGAGTCGGTTGTCGGGTAGACGTAGCTGTGATTGCAGATGATTATTGCTAGTCAGTTGCCAACCGCCTCTTGTCGTAAATCTAAACCTTTTACTGGAGAAAGATACACGACAGCGTCCTACTGCAAACCCCGACATAAGCTCACTGTCTACAATAATGTTTTACTTGTGTGGTGTGTGGTCCTGTGCATAGAGCTCAGGTCACAATCAGTTGAAGTTAAGCAACGTTGAGCGCGGAGATTCCTTGGATGGGTGACCGTGTTTGGCAGCTTGACTCATGAGAGTTTCTAGAACTTCACTTCCCACAACGAAGCACATGTGCTTCCCGCGGTTACCCGGGGTGATGACAGAAGCCCTTTGAGCACACCCGTGTGAGGTGGACAGGCGCTATAGAAGTAATGTGTTATTATTCTATTATCATATTGGAATCACGTTGTATAGCGCAACATGGCACGTTATGATATACTGACGGAAATAAGTAACTATGCATAACATACAGTTGCATAAAATTAAAGTAATTTGAATAGTTAAACATAAACACAAATAAACATGTAGCACAGCACTTTGCATGAAATGTGATGTTACGTATCGTGCGTGGCGCGTGCTCTCTAGCCTCCGCATGTCGTTTCAACCTAAACTGTGCGTACATCATGCCGCGGATTACAGAAAATCAGCGTCTCCACGCCGCGGATCGGCTGGAGACGGGAATGGCCTAACATAATGTGGCTAGATATTTTGGTGTCCATCGAAACACGATCTCATATCAATAAAGAGGTTTTCAACATAATGGGAACATGAGAGATTTGCCACGCCACGCCACGCCACGCCACGCCACGCCACGCCACGCCACGCCACGCCACGCCACGCCACGCCACGCCACGCCACGCCACGCCACCAAGACAACCACATTCTAATGATCCATCTAAGGAATCAATTCCAGACTGCCAGTTTGACTGTTCGGATCATTCCTGGCTTATGTTCCGTCAGTTCCAGGACAGTACGGAACCGACTGAAGGAGTTTTGTGGCGGAAGTGTATGATCTGGGGAAGCAACACATCGCATGGTCGGACACAACTTGTCATTGTCCATGGGAATCTGACAGGCCTGTGATACAGGGATGAGATCATTGGGCCTCATGTGCAGCCGTTCATTCAAGGACAGAGACGTAACTACGCTTAGGCAAGATAATGCCAGTCCACATGTCGCTCGTGTTGTGACACATTTCCTGAGACAGCAGAATATTCCGGTACTTCCCTGGCCAGCAGTTTCTCCGGACCTGTCCCCTATCGAGCACGCTTGGGATGAAATGGAGCGACGTTTACGTCATCCCCAGAATCAGCCATTGACGCTGGCTGAATTGGTACAAGCTTTTGTTCAGACATGGGACAACATTCCCCAAGCTTTCTTCAATCGCTTAGTGTCGTCTACGAGTCGTTGTCAACGCCAATGGTGGACACAGATGATTCTGAATTTGTTAACTGACACCACATCTCAGCAAGGGCGTGTCACGATGCCCAGTGTCAAATCATACAGACTTCGATATCATCTTGTCAACAGTTAAAAGGTGATAAATTAAAATACCAAAAATAATTTTTTTAAATTTAAGTATTGTACATGAGACAGCTGGGATTAGTAACGCATGTGGTGAAACTCTCCACTCTTGTGAGCGACGTGATAAGGCCCACAGGGTATTCTCCTTTATTGTACTTCTTACTCAGAGCCTTGTGTCAAATAACAATTGTAATCTGTTTACCTCGATACTACCTGGATATTTACCTAGATATCTATCACATTACACTTGAACACAACATATACGAATTCTTGACCCCTTAACACATTGTTCTCAGTATGGAACTCTGAACACAACAGAACACCGGTCCTCTATGGCTAATACATAAAGGAATTGAAGAGGCGTTATGAATACTGTTGGCGTCAACCAACTCATGAACATGGAGAGGGTTTTGTCGCTTCTTTAACATTATGTTTAGATGCTTTTGTCACATTTGTTTGCCTTAAGCCCATTTCTGGTGTGCATTTATATGCATTATATCTGTATTACAATATGCAGGAATGAAAAATTACAAGAGTAGTGATTATAACAGTAAAGGCAACGATGATAATACCAGCCTGACAGCAACAGTCATCCAGTTTGGAAGAAAGGGCTAGACAGAGAGCATCCAGGGTGTGATCATCACACACAATGCCGGTCTTCTGGTGGCCTGAGATGTGAGGCATTAACTCATTCCCCTTATATTCCCAACAAAAAGTCTAGAAATGTTCTCTGTATCAGAGGAGGTTCTGGTACATGCCAGCACTGTCTAAATATAGAACACGTCTAAATATAGCACCCACTTCTGCCCGCACATAGAAGCGCACAACATATAACATTTCCTCGTAACACTCTCCCTCTTCGGAGAAAGAAACTTTGAGCGTAGTAAAAACTAATCTAAGTACCAAATCTGCTAGCCATAGTAAATATGACACTAGATCTGTATGGCCAGGTACAAGTCAGCAGACTCTTGAATTAACTCTGACTCTAAAGATTTTCGCTAAGGTGATAAATGAACTCGATTAACATATAGCTTAGCTACTCTTTCAGAATAGGATAGTTTAGGGTGAGCACAGTCTGCAATGTCATATACTTTACAAAGTCACATCTAGCATCAGCTTCACACTATGTACAGAAGCAACAGTAGGTACACAGTAGAGGAACACAGAGTAGGTACACAGTAGAGGAACACAGAGTAGGTACACAGTAGGGGAACACAGGGTAGGTACACAGTAGGGGAACACAGAGTAGGTACACAGTAGGGGAACACAGAGTAGGTACACAGTAGGGGAACACAGGAGTAGGTACACAGTAGGGGAACAGAGGAACACACAGTAGGTACACAGTAGGGGAACACAGAGTAGGTACACAGTAGGGGAACACACAGTAGGTACACAGTAGGGGGAGTAGGTACACAGTAGGGGAACACACAGTAGGTACACAGTAGGGGAACACAGAGTAGGTACACAGTAGAGGAACACACAGTAGGTACACAGTAGGGGAACACAGGGTAGGTACACAGTAGGGGAACACACAGTAGGTACACAGTAGGGGAACACAGAGTAGGTACACAGTAGGGGAACACACAGTAGGTACACAGTAGGGGAACACACAGTAGGTACACAGTAGGGGAACACAGTAGGTACACAGTAGGGGAACACAGTAGGGGAACACAGAGTAGGTACATTGTCATTTCTTTCATCATACATTCTAAGCATACTGACATGACAAGTATCCATAGTATCAAGATACATAGTATCACTGACTTTCTTATCACTAACACTTGAACCATGGTAACTAGTACATGCAGTTGGCCAGGAAGTGGCAACATCACTAACTCATGGCTAGTGACATTTATCTCGTGAGACCTCTTGTCATAACCTACCTTTATCTGGTCCTGTGATTCTTTTAAATTATCCCCAGCAACTTTGCAAGCTTTCGAAAGACTAGTTCGAAACATAGCCCAACATCTATCATTGAGCCTCTGCTCCTTCAAATGTTTCAAAGGTCCACAAACAGCATGACCAAAAACAAAGTCAAAAGGACTGAAACTGACTCCCTCAAAGCAAACAAAAACAAGTGACTGTCTTAATCACAATCCTTCTCAGTTTCAAAAACAGTAGGTCCTTATTATATTCTTAAGACTCTTTCACGATATGGCTGAATATTGCCAAAGTGACTTGAAATTTTAACTCACTCTTAAGAGTCTCATGGAACCTCTCTAGAGCACCCTGCTTTATGGTGATATGCGCTTAAGTTGTAACTAGAGTTTTACCTGCTGGAATATACCTGACATGAAATCAGAGTCTTGATCTGTCTAAATAGTCTTAGGCAAACAGTCATAGTGAGGAACTTTACCAAGCTTGATGTAATGGAACGGAACAGCCTCTGGAAAACTGGTGGAAGCACACACAATAGTAACCGTGTACCGATTGCCTGACCTACTTTTTGACAAAGGACCAACAGTCAATCGTAACCCTGCTGAAAGGCTCTTCAAAAGCTGGAATGGGATTCCAAGGTGCTGCTGATATTTTCTGCGGGTACTATCAACAGGCACGTCTGACGGCCTCCGTGTCCACGTCAAAATGTTGTTCTTGACGTAATAGCAAACTGGAACCTTGACAGCATCTTAAGAGAGTGCGCCATTTGGCAGAAACTTTGAGGTCTGGGTCTTCCCCTTAGAACTTAACCAACCCCTCTCCCTTTAGACAGCTCAAGAGAATGATCCACGGAATGAAATAGTAACTTAAATTTGCCTCACCTAGCACGAGCAACAACACAGGAAAACACATGCATATGTTTCTTTGCCTACCCTTTCCCCTCCCTTTTAACTGCAAGAATTGTGTGTTTCTTTACCAAGGTATGCAAATGATCCATAATTGTGTACATATCACACAGTGATAATTGTGTTGCAGGGGTGAGTCAATAATAATGACGAGCTGCGGGTGTGTTTGAGGTGACGTTTATTCCAACATCATATATAAATTATTCAGTTGATCAGTCAATCACCCTGTAATATAAGAAAGAATGCTATACATTAATCTAAACATGCAACAAGTACAGTTACACATACCTAGTTCATATTATTCTTATTACCACTAATGTATAAAACACTACATAATGCTTTAACGTAACATGCAAATGATCAACTTAAATGATCATAGAGGTGATATTTAAATCACACATAGATAATTACATACATGATAAAAGATAATATGTACATACCCCGTGGGTGACACCGGGGTGTGTCTACATACCCACACTAGTATTCTGTATTATTGCATTCCTAAAACAAATAATTAGTACAATATGTTACTGTGTGATCAACATTACATTCAAACTATTAATCAAATCATACCCTCACACATTCATACATTTAGACATTAAATATTGATAAATTAAAAGGTACATTGCCTACTTGATATACAATATTAATATTTACAACACTCTATATTATTTATAACATATATACTTAATGGGTAGGTTGAGATTCTATTTAGGTTAATATAAAGTAAAGGTCTAACCTGAGCTACGTAGAGTGGCTTGTCCAGTGCACAGTTGTTAGCAGTGTGGCAAGAAAAGTGTGCAAATGCTATGGAGGAAAGCTGTAGTTATAGTATGACCAGAAATTATTGAGAATTTTAGGAATATGTTTAATTGGATTTCTAGTATAAACAACCTTGACCAGCTATCAAGTGCTTGGTTTCATTCAAGAGAGACAACTCCGTTAATCCTTTTTCATTAGTTTGTGAAGAGTTATCCCCCTTTATTTACTTGCTAGCAGACGACATTTTCAGTGATCCTCAGTGTGGATGATTTCGAGAAGAGGAAGTTGATTTTAGAGTATTATAACAAGGACATCAGATCAGCTAAAGTGATTTCAAGTGGAACAGGCATCCCTTTGTCTTCTGTTTATCGTGTTTTGAAAATAATGGCAAATGGATATGGCATTGAGCATCAGGGAGGCGTAGGTAGGCCCAGAAAATTGACTGTCGGTGACAGGAGGCGGCTTGGTATTCTTGTTTCTAAAAACAAACGAAGGAGTTTAGAAAACTTAAGGCTGGATATGATTGATAGAGGAACTGTGGCTGTCTGTTAGGAGACAATTAGAACTGAGCTGCATGCAATGGGTTGGCAGAAAAGTCGAGGAATTCCATCACCGATCATGAAACCTGAACAAAAGGAGCGAAGGTTGAACTGGTGCTTACAGCATAGAAATTTAACTGGGACAATATGATTTTCTCAGATGTAAGTTCTGTGTGACTGATTCCTAATACACTGAAATTCTTGACCAAACAAACTGAAAAACCTTTGTATCAGCGCCCAAAGTACATTCCGAAATTTAACGTGTGGGGTGACATATCTGTGTTAGGGGCAACGCCCCTCTGTGTATTTGAAGGGAAAATGAACAGTGAGCGGTACACAGATATTCTCGAGGGACATTTACTTCCATCTGCTCACATGTTCTATGGAAATTTTTGGATTTTCCAGCAGGACAACGACCCAAAACATCGTTCAAAGCATTCACAGGCCTGGTTTCGGACCCAAAATATGACATTATTAGATTGGCCAAGCTATAGCCCTGACCTAAATCCAATAGAAAATGTTTGGGGACTTATGAAGGAAAGTGTCAAGAAATATCTGACAAATATTGCTGAAATGAAAGAAGAGGTGGTCCGATATTGGGACAGCATGGACCACGACTTTCTAACTTCTTTGATCAGTAGTATGCCCCGCCGCATTGAAGCCTGCATTGCTGCCCATGGTGACTTGACAAAATACTAACTGTTCACCTGTCTTTGAATCTGGAGTTATGTTCTGCTAATATTCACATTAATACGTGAGTAATGAGTGAAAAAAAATTACAATCTTTAAATTCTCAATAATTTCTGGTTGTACTGTGTATATAATGTTAATCAAATAGGAAGCTGAGGGCTATTGTATTGAAAGCTAGATTGTTGAGTAGGAATGAAATACCCTGTCCACTCTAAACAGACCAACTGCTTTGATAAGTAATCCAAGCACATCAAAATCCAAAGGGAACGAGAGCTTAATGTGTGCTTAAGACTGCCATGTGTATCTAGTATTGACGATACACCAGTTACGTCGTGACCCGTGAGGTACGTACTTCCACATTAATCGTTGAAATAGCAACATAAACATAATACCTCGCTACTGAAACAGTAAAAACGGTAACTTTAAATCGCTAAAACTGGATAAAAACACGAAGAGCCTGCAACTTCGATTTCGCGCATGCGCACATGGAAGAGGAAGTCTCGACCGCATGTTGACATTTTCCAGCTTGGACAAAAGTTACATTCCGCTTTAAAAGTATTTCTGTTGTGTTATTTGGCATTTATCATCATGATACTTGTGTGCACTAGTATGAAAAGATTGACAGCAATTATTTCGACATACATGTATTCAATACTTTTTCAACGCGAGGCGATTCACGGTTGCTCGGAAATTTGAAAATAGATCGTAATGCTCATGCGCACTAGAGGTCAAAGTTCGCTGATATAAAAATGTTGCAGTTTGATAGTCTTTCGTTGTCGTTTTTACTGTTTCAGTAGCGGGGTAATATGTTTATGTTGCTATTTCCACGATTAATGTGGACTTCCCTGCGTTTTTCTGCACAGAGGTAGGCCTGTTCTACATCCCCGGCACCCCACACTTGTATTGTCCTTACCCGACCTTGTAGGCCAGAGATCAGGTTAAGGTCGTCTGATTTAAAACAGTGCCAGATGAGGTAAAAAACAACATTAAGTCCCTGGGTCCACTCACACAGGACTCCCTTCAGAAGTTTAGAGAGCGAGTTGCTAATGACAAACCTACTTGTTGTCAATGGGAACACTTGTTGAATAACATTAAATCGATGATGGCAACCACATGCCTACTTACATCTGAAACACTCAGCTTCACGTGTCACTGCGTTTACTACCGAGGGAACTCCCCCATCTGACAATGATGGATCCCGAGAGACGCATCCCGGAGTCTTTCATTCTCATGGTGGCACGGCGTGACACACTTCACCATGCACCAACATAGGAGATGGATGGGCAACAGGGACAGTGAGACTCTCGTGTGTTTTTTAAATTTCCAAACCGTGTACTCGACTCTTTATGTCAAATTCTTGGAAACACTGATACATAATGACCACAAACCGCCAATAAAACCACATGATCTGTCCATTCCGTTCTGATTTCAAGGCTATTCCCATGCCCTCATTGCACTGATGGCAACAGCAATCTATGTAGAAATTGGTCAGGTTGTGTCATGCCTATAAAGAATTTGTGTCGGGTTTGTGTGATAGGACACAATTTATAATACAGATGCTCAAGGCAAAGAAGATGTCACAAATTTCGTTGTTCTTAAAACCTACTTTTGATAATGCCTTCTTTTTAAATCCCACTGTCTACTATACGTCGTGATGCCTGCCGCACACAGTGGAGCTCGGTCCTACGTATATACAGCACCTGAGATGTCATAGCTACAGTCCATAACATTCCCATATACTGTTTATAAAGCGCCCTCTACAGGATGCCCTATTTACAGTCAATGGGACGCACTTTTTATACCACACGATACATTGTAAGTAGTCCCGCTGTACCATTTGCTAAATACGAATCTATACAAATTACATTATGTTACCGAAAGCATTCCCACGTGGACGTTCACGTCGTCGGCAGAACTATACTAGTCATATGCTACAAAAGAGCTTTAGTGCTTTCTCTTGACACACTGTGGCCTTACACCGATCCCCGGAATGATATATCACTGTGGTCCATTTGATCCCTGGAATGATATATCACTGTGGTCCATTTGATCCCCGGAATGATATATGCCGGTGGTCCATTTGATCCCTGGAATGATATATGCCAGTGGTCTATTTGATCCCTGGAATGATATATGCCGGTGGCCCATTTGATCCCTGGAACGATATATGCCAGTGGATATATCACTGTGGTTTTGATCCCTGGAATGATACATGTCAGTGGTCTATTTGATCCCTGGAATGATATATGCCAGTGGTCCATTTGATCCCTGGAATGATATATGCCGGTGGCCCATTTGATCCCTGGAATGATATATGCCAGTGGTCTATTTGATCCCTGGAATGATATATGCCGGTGGCCCATTTGATCCCTGGAACGATATATGCCAGTGGCCCATTTGATCCCTGGAATGATATATGCCAGTGGTCTATTTGATCCCTGGAATGATATATGCCAGTGGTCCATTTGATCCCTGGAATGATATTATGGAATGATGCATTTTTATATAAGCAATGAATTGACACATCCCTTACCCATGTCACAAAAGAAACATGTTGCTGAACATCTAACCAAACATTGATCTCATTATATGGTTTTCTCAGTAACCTTCTAATGACATTCGCTTTCTTATTACCAAATTGTCGTGAGCCTCTGAGGACAGTGATGTCTATCTCCAAGATCCCCGCCATAACTGACAAGTGTCCTATGAATCAGGAATACAGTCTTGTGGGTACGTGGTGCACAAAATTAAACACTCAAATCCTTTTACAGAATTGGAGCAGATGTATTTATGTAATTACACATATTCAAGGAAATATTAACTCCACTTGCCTCCAATACTTCAGCGTCAAGGGTAGAGATAACAGTTCCGGAACACAAACAGTGGGCGTAAAAGGCCAAGTTGTGATGGAAATAATGTGTATGGATTACTGAAGTGAAGATACCAGGCGCTCGCATGTCCTACTCTGACCGACAGCAACCGACAAACCGCATCGGTTTGTAGCCATGGTTGTGTCCAATGCTAGTTCCTCTAGAGTAATAATGAGATGAAATACACGATGCCATATAGTACAAGCCGCGGTAGCTGGGTTAGACAGCTGACTTTGTGTGCTGGCAATTCGGTGAATGACTCTGAGGGTGTGGGTTCGAATCCCGGACTCAAAAGTACTAGAATCTGTACTTTACAGAGAAAGTGTAATCTCCAAATATAACGTGTTAAGTAATTGTAGCGGCCATAAAATTTCCGAGTCCCGTGCTGGGATTCGAACCACGAACCTTCTATTCCGAAGACGGACGCCTTGTCCACATGACCAAAGATGTTAACCCCGTCAGCAAGCTGACAAGGTAAAGATGTCATCTGTGGGATGACTCCACGCCCTGCTACATACTCCCCCGTCAACAGAAGGCACGCCCCGAGTCGCATAGTTGGGTACTGAGACTTATTTTGCTCAAATTTCCTATGAACGTGCTCAGCCCCACGTTGGGCGCCAATGTAGCGGCCATAAATTTTCCGAGTCCCGTGCTGGGATTCGAACCACGAACCTTCTATTCCGAAGGCGGACGCCTTGTCCACATGACCAAAGAGGTCAACCCCGTCAGCAAGCTGACAAGGTAAGGATGTCATCTGTGGGATGACTCCACGCCCTGCTACATAATGAAATATTCGACTCATGACATATTCACAGCTGTGCCATCTAAAGTTTCATTTGTTGACCACACCGAGCTGAGTACACGCTTTAGCTCCACAATGTTGTGGTTGCCACGTGTTACAACGATCCTGTTTTTGTAAATCACTCATGCTGTTTTGAGGCGTCTTCCTGAGAAGACTATTGGACCATACAGTCACACTAATGACATCACGATGTTAGAGCAAACACGCATACAGAACACGATCCGTAAGAGAGTAGAACACCATGAAATATAAAGCCTTTATAAATCGTACAGTTGTTCCGAAACCAAGCAATGACGTCAGTAACAACCCGCCCACCATAACAAAACACCAATTAAATACAGGTATAGAGTAGCATTACAACAACGCTGTCTTTGCTGGCGTAACGTCAAAAGCAAGGTTCAAATCAATCATTGAAGAATATTTATTTTGTCACGCTTATAACCTTAACGCGAAATTTAAATACTTTTGTGGAATAGATATGCACATAAGGTTATTCACCATTATTCGAGCTGACGAAATTCAACACAAGATTCTACTCAGGTAAATCGATGCTTTTAGCACACATCTCCACATCCAGAGATGACCCTTCCACCGCATTTTCTGGAAACTGAACAAACAGTCAAATACAGCTCATACCAGGCTGCAGATAATTCTGCAAAATGGAGTATTAAAGGAAAAGAAAGTACCATTGAGTGTCATCTTGTGGAAGTGTCAATTTCATAGCTTAACTTGAACCCTATAATCGTAGGTCCCCCCTCCCCTATATACGGACTCGGGGGTTTCACTAAAGTACGAAAGAATTGAAGTGTTCAGGTTTTCCTTCCATATGTCCTGAAAGAGGAGAAGGGGATTTTATGACAGACAGACAGACAGACAGACAGACGGTATTTATTCAGTAAGACTGACACTGTGTTCAGTGGGTGCGCAAAACAACTTTTTCAGCTCTATGTCCTGGAGTTTATCAATTTCAATACATGGTATAAGTATAGCCCAACATAGTATATGACAGCATCATTTTTGATTTGCAAACGATTTACGATTTACATTATACCAACATTTACGTACCACTTTCATACACTAACGGAAAAGAGTAACTATGCATATTATAAAATTGCATAAAATAAAAGTTATTTGAGAAGTTATAAAAATAACCCGAAATAAACATGTAGCAAAGCACTTTGCATGACATTTGAAGTCACGTATCGCGCGTGGCACGTGATCTTTGTGGACAATGAACTTACTCTCTTTGTGCATGCTTTTTGACACCTGAAGTTCAGACACCTGATATTGAAAATTGAAGAACTGTATATTATTCTCTAGCCTCTGAATGTTGTGGAAACCACGTTACTTTCAACCTAAACTGCGCGTACGTCATGTCACATACAGGTTTAGAGAAAATCAACGTCTCCGCGCCGTGGGTATGCTGGAGACTGGAATGCCCAAAATGAAGTGGCCAGACATTTTGTTGTCCATCGAAACACGATCTCCACTCTATGGAGACGTTTTCAACATAATGGGAAGACGAGACATTTGCTTCGGACCGGCCGTCCACGCGTGACGTCACGTCAGCAACAGAACCACATTCGGCTGACCCATTTAAGGAATCGATTCCAGACTGCTCGCACCATCAGTTCCAGAACCGACTGAAGGAGCACAACATCCGGCCTCGCAATACCTGCAAGACGTCCAATTGTGCTCCAACGTCACCGACAGGCACGTCATGCCTGGTGCAGACATCATTTAAGGTACAGGAGACAAGATTGGGATGGTGTTTTGCTCACTGACGAGTCGAGATTTCATCTGGACAGCTTAGATTACAGGGCAAGGATGTACCGACGGGGAAGTGAACGGTATACTGACGCGTGTGTTGTTCAACGTTGACATTTTGTGGCGAAAGCGTTATGGTATGGGGGTAAATCACATCTCATGGGGATGACACAATCTGTCATTGTCAATGGCAATCTGACAGGTCTGCGGTACAGAGATGAGATCATTGGGCCTCATGTGCAGCCGTTCATTCAAGGACAGAGACGTAACTTCACACTTCAGCAACATAACGCCCTTCCCCATGTCGCTCTTGTTGTGACCGATTTCATGAGACAGCAGGGCATTCTGGAACTCCCGTGGACAGCTGTTTCTCCGGTCCTGTCCCCTATTGAGCACGCTTGGGATGAAATGGAGCGACGTTTACGTCAAGCCCAGAATCAGCCATTGACGTTAGCTGAATTGGGACAAGGGTTAGTTCAGACATGGAACAACATTCCCCAAGCATTCTTCAATTGTTTAGTATTGTCTATGCATCGCCGTTGTCAAGCCTGCATCAACCTCAATGGTGGGCACACACGATACTGAATTTGTGAACTGACACCACATTTCATCAAGGGTGTGTCACGATGCCCAGTGTCAAATCATACAGATTTGGATATTATCCTGTCAAGAGTTAAACAGTGATTAATTAAAACACACATCATGTTATTATTTCTTTATATTAAAACATGTCATAGCATCAAACAATGAACAGTTACATTTATTCCAACAATATATTTAAGTTTGGGTAGTTTCTATTATTTTTAAGTAAGAAGTTTGCAACACATCTGATGCATACAAAAGACTTGCACCAAAGATTGCACCAAACAATTTATAGTAATCTGCACTTGAAATAGCACCAAAGGTTCTGTGAAACGAATATAAACACAAAACAGCTTGTTTACTTCTGGTTTAAAATGTTTTAGGGCCTTGCTCCATGACAGCCTTGAAGGGTACACGATGGATAAATACCTGCAGAATGAAACAATTGTTCACCTTCAAAGTACTATTTGTCGTAACGTTTCAAAGGACAGCAATGTACAACAACAGTAAACTTGGTTTTCCTGACATTAACACTTTTACAAGTTTGTCTGCAGGTTATATGTAAGGCACCTAAACTCTTCTGTACTACAATTCTATGAATGCCATTTCTGATCAGAGAATCGAGGGTTTTGTGCTTGCATGTTAGCCACCCTCACTGGGTGTTGAATCGCTGTCCCTTCAGGTCGTTACATGTTAGCCACCCACATTGGGTGCTGAATCGCTGTCCGTTCAGGTCGTTACATGTTAGCCACCCCACTGTGTGCTGAATCGCTGTCCCTTCAGGTCGTTACATGTTAGCCACCCACATTGGGTGCTGAATCGCTGTCCGTTCAGGTCGTTACATGTTAGCCACCCACGTTCAGGTCGTTACATGCTGAATTCGCTGTCCGTGCCCCTTCAGGTCGTTACATGTTAGCCACCCACATTGGGTGCTGAATCGCTGTCCCTTCAGGTCGTTACATGTTAGCCACCCCACTGTGTGCTGAATCGCTGCCCCTTCAGGTCGTTACATGTTAGCCACCCTCACTGTGTGCTGAATCGCTGCCCCTTCAGGTCGTTACATGTTAGCCACCCACATTGGGTGCTGAATCGCTGTCCCTTCAGGTCGTTACATGTTAGCCACCCCCACTGGGTGCTGAATCGCTGCCCCTTCAGGTCGTTACATGTTAGCCACCCCACTGTGTGCTGAATCGCTGCCCCTTCAGGTCGTTACATGTTAGCCACCCCCACTGTGTGCTGAATCGCTGTCCGTTCAGGTCGTTACATGTTAGCCATCCCCACTGTGTGCTGAATCGCTGTCCGTTCAGGTCGTTACATGTTAGCCATCCCCACTGGGTTCTGAATCGCTGTCCCTTCAGGTCGTTACATGTTAGCCACCCCACTGGGTGCTGAATCGCTGCCCCTTCAGGTCGTTACATGTTAGCCACCCTCACTGTGCTGAATCGCTGCCCCTTCAGGTCGTTACATGTTAGCCACCCCCACTGTGTGCTGAATCGCTGCCCCTTCAGGTCGTTACATGTTAGCCACCCCCACTGGGTGCTGAATCGCTGTCCCTTCAGGTCGTTACATGTTAGCCACATCGCTGTTAGGTCCATGTTAGCCACCCCCACTGCTGAATGTGCGTTACATGAATCGCTGCGCCCTTCAGGTCGTTACATGTTAGCCACCCTCACTGGGTGCTGAATCGCTGCCCTTCAGGTCGTTACATGTTAGCCACCCCACTTGTGTGCTGAATCGTTGCCCCCTTCAGGTCGTTACATGTTAGCCACCCCAATGGGTGCTGAATCGTTGCCCCTTCAGGTCGTTACATGTTAGCCACGCACACTGGGTGCTGAATCGCTGCACCTTCAGGTCGTTACATGTTAGCCACCCCCACTGGGTGCTGAATCGCTGCCCCTTCAGGTCGTTACATGTTAGCCACGCACACTGGGCGCTGAATCGCAGCACCTTCAGGTCGTTACATGTTAGCCACGCACACTGGGCGCTGAATCGCTGCCCCTTCAGGTCGTTACATGTTAGCCACGCACACTGGGCGCTGAATCGCTGCCCCTTCAGGTCGTTACATGTTAGCCACGCACACTGGGCGCTGAATCGCAGCACCTTCAGGTCGTTACATGTTAGCCACCCTCACTGGGTGCTGAATCGCTGCCCCTTCAGGTCGTTACATGTTAGCCACCCCCACTGGGTGCTGAATCGCTGTCCGTTCAGGTCGTTACATGCTAGCCACCCCCACTGTGTGCTGAATCGCAGCACCTTCAGGTCGTTACATGTTAGCCATCCCCACTGGGTGCTGAATCGCTGTCCCTTCAGGTCGTTACATGTTAGCCACCCCCACTGGGTGCTGAATCGCAGCACCTTCAGGTCGTTACATGTTAGCCACCCCACTGTGTGCTGAATCGCTGTCCGTTCAGGTCGTTACATGTTAGCCACCCCCACTGGGTGCTGAATCGCTGTCCCTTCAGGTCGTTACAAACAGGGATTACACTTTCTTAGTAAAGTACAGATTCTAGTACTTTTTGAGTTGACGAAGCCGCGGTGGCTGAGCGGTCTAGGCGTCTGACTTTGTGTGCTGGCGATTAGGTGCCTGACTCTGAGGGTGTGGGTTCGAATCCCGGATGGGACTTCAATTCAAAAAGTACTAGAATCTGTACTTTACTAAGAAAGTGTAATCCCAAATATAACATATGCTACATTTGACCACTTTCTAAAATGGCATTGTGTATTTCACAGGTGGCAGAAGCGGTAAAACCCTGCTAACTGATACTTTGTATATTGGCAGAATTTCTGTTATAATGTTATGAATGCTTTCATACCGCCTAATGCGTTTCACATCTATGTATGAAGATTCAACACACTCTCCACAAGGCTGTATCACAAACGGGGTGATTTCAAGTTTCCACTGGTAAACTTCATGTCAGGCGATATTCAACAACTCCAACCTTTTGTGTTTGCTACAATCGAGCATTTTAGTTTTACCAAAATTTCAAAAAGCGACATATAACGATCAAGATTACAATATTCCAGGCCTCAACGTTTTATGGCAGCATGTGGAGGACATTTCAAAATGTGATGCGTCAGTGACAAAAATGACTTTGATTTGGATTTGTGACATATTCAGGTGAATAGTTGACTAGCCCTTGCATGTGTTTATTATAGGTGGGATAGGATAAGCTCACCTTTCACGAACACTTTTTATCACCACTATTGCATAGCGATTCATAAACACATGCTCTGTCATCGATTCTATTGGGTTGTCTGGTCCAGACTCGATCATCTACAGACAGCCACCATACAGCGGTAAAGCGTGAGTGAGTGAGGCGTTAAACAGACACATGCTCATAATATAGTCAGAAGTATGCAGTCGAACTTTTATGGATGTAACAACATGACGATCATCATAACACCATGGGTCCCTGGATCCTCTCTGGTGTTACTGACGTCGTGGCCTTCAACACGTTATACTACCATCCTCTCTGGTGTTACTGACGTCGTGGCCTTCAACACACTATACTACCATCCTCTTTGCGTCTCAGGACGGTGGGCTAGCCTAGTGGTTAAAGCGTTCGCTCGTCACGTCGAAGACCCGGGTTCGATTCCCCACACGGGTAAAATGTTTAAAGCCCATTTATAGTGTCCCCTGCTGTGATATTGCTGGAATATTGCTAAAACTATACTTACCCTTTACGCCTTAATAGGCGCCCTCCTTACCCAGGCTTGTAATCGTTTCTGTGCGAGTGCTTGAACACTTGCCTCGTGTCTGGAGACAAGTTGCTCAAGTGGCACAATCTTGCGTGAACATACCTCCATCACATCACGTGATGTCCTCAACATATCTCCATCACATCACGTGATGTCCTCAACATATCTCCATCACATCACGTGATGTCCTCAACATATCTCCATCACATCACGTGATGTCCTCAACATACCTCCATCACATCACGTGATGTCCTCAACATACCTCCATCACATCACGTGATGTCCTCAACATACCTCCATCACATCACGTGATGTCCTCAACATATCTCCATCACATCACGTGATGTCCCCAACACAAGATTTCATACTTCTATGGGAGGCTTGCATGTCACTTATACTTTTTTTGTTCTTTCTTCAGTACATTTAACTGGTCCTATTGCCAAGCCAAGTCTCTCGGGGTGATACAGCGATACCTAGCGTCATACCACAGCATGATGGCGCAGGCAGAGGTGATGTAAGTCCACAACGTGCTTTGTATAACCGCATATTTTCTACGGCGGGGGTGTCCACAACATGTTCTGAATTACCACATGTTTGGTACGGTGGGGGTGTCCACAACATTTACTGTATTACCACATGTTTTGTACGGTGGGTGTGTCCACAATATTTTCTGTATTACCACATGTTTTCTACGGTGGGTGTGTCCACAACATGCTCTGTATTACCACATGTTTTGTACGGTGGGGGTGTCCACAACATGCTCTGTATTACCACATGTTTTGTA